TGGCACTGAGAGCTGTGACAACAACAGCTCTGGCATAAATAAAACTGTTTTCTATTTTTAGAGCTGAATTGCAACACTTTGTGGGAGTTTGTAAGCAAAGCAAGTCACGTTGCAGGCAGTGTTGAAAGCGACCCACAGCAAGAGCCCGGCAATGGTTTGCATCACTCAAAGAATTGGGGTTTGTTTTTCAGCTGGCAAGTGCTCGGGAGAAGCATTCCTCTGGCAACTTCCATGGGCTGAGCTGTACAGAATGGGAATGGGCTTTAAAAACGTGAAGTTAAATAAGTAAAGAAGAGCTGAAAGAATTTCCATGTTCCGCTTTTTGACTCACACTGGAAGTGGTCAGAATTTCTTCCAGTGCAAGCACTCTGGGTTAGGTTCAAACCCTGATTTGTGCCCTTTTAGGCTGTGCCAGCACACAGCTCTGAGCTCACTGTTACACCGAGCAGCAGGTCAGGCAGGGAACACCATGGAAATGGGGCACCAAGGGTCTGGGGAGGGCTGAGGAATGTGACAGACACAGCCCAGGACACTCAGAACAGCCCTGCCACACCACAGACAAGGTTTCTGTATTAACTCTCCAGGTTTCTCCATTAACTCTCTTCCAGATGGAACAAAATCATGCAATTGTAAAATCACAGAAGGGTTTGGGCTGGAAGGGACCTTAAAGCTCATCCCATTCCACTGTCCCCTGCCACTAACACCTTCCACCGTCCCATGTCAACAGCCCGGGTAAGCAGGAGCAGCTCAGAAAGGACCTGAGAGCAGCCACCAGAGGTGGTTAATGATGAACTTTATTCCAAGAAACGCACAGCATTAAACACACGTACGGTTCAATTCCCAGAGGCAGCCAGGAAGGTTAATGACCCTTGGTGGGATGGAGACGGGGAGGTCTCAGATTTCAGCGGGGTTTGATGCTGTGTCTGCACAGATGAGAAGTCATGGAATCACCAAATCATTTGGGTTGGAAAAGCCCTCCCAGCCCATGGAGTCCCAGCTGTGCCTGTCCCCACCGTGTCCCCAGCTCTCAGTGCCACCTCTGGGAATTCCTGGAACACCTCCAGGGATGGGCACTCCAAAGCTCCCTGGGCAGCTCTGCCAAGGCCTGCACACCCTTTCCATGGGGAAATTCCTGCTGATGTCCAACCTTGGGGACATCCTGATGTGTAACTTGGGGCCATTTCCCCTCCTCCTGTCCCTGTTCCCTGGGAGCACAGCCTGACACCACCCTCCAGGCTGCACCCTCCTGCCAGGGAGTTTAGGCACATTTTCCCAAATCAGTCCTGGAATTCCCACTGTTGTACATTGTACCCGCTATG